ACACACACACACACACACACACACACACACACACACACACACACACAGGTGCCCCGCCTGGAGCGGAACTAGTGCAGTGTGAAATCAAGTGGGTGATTAGAATTTTGCACGAGGTGAGGCAAGACCACAATCCATTTACCGTTTCAGTTCAAAACATCTGAATAATAACTCAGTACGGTTGCTTTGTGCTTTTGCCCTTCCAACAACACTTGGTAACCTTGCATTCAGTCTTAAAGCTGAGGCGCTTTGTTTTTACTTCATGTAAAAAGAAATGGACAAAGGAACGAAAAAGATATTACCCCACAATGTGAGATTAAGTATTTTGCCACAAAGCCGTTGACTCATTATTAACTTCCAAATTGACCTTAGTGCAATCTGAGTTGAGCAAACTCAACTCCCTTGTTACTGCATCTGTTTGCCATCTTAACTCCAGCGAAGGGACGTTCCTCATTAGGAAGCAAAGCGAGGAAGGCCCAGTTGAATGATTGTAATTACCATCCCAAAGCCAAGTGGCACAGTCTGAGGGTAATGATATGTACAACCTATTTATTATGAGAGGATTTTGGGGCAAATTGTGTCTGTAACCAGAATAAAACCCTTTGACATTATCTAGCCCCCAATCAGCAGATCTATAATCTGGCTATAGAAAAAACAGAATCAAAATCCTCTGCTGGAGATAAAGTCATCACTCTCTTCAAAGAGAGCGAACTGTGGGGGCCACAGAAATGCACCACCGGGCAATCGCACGCTCTGAAATGGGTCCTAGTATGTTCACAGCTTTTCCTAATGAGCGTTGAATGTCAGCGATACTTTTGTGAAAGTCTGTTTTAGTGTAAACACAAGTGATTTAATCACCAAGGAGACGGTCTCTTTTAATGTCAGTCTAGAAAAATTGAGGTAGGCTTTCTTTCAGGACAACTTGAACGCAAAGCAGGAGCTGGTACTGATGAAGTCAGATCTGCTCCACATTCACTCAGACACGGCCCAGTTTTTACAAAGTAAGGGTATGAATCAAAAGAAAGCAAGAAATAGCTGACCACAGTCATTGTACCCTTTGTGCGATCCCATGGACATATTTGAAACATTGAATTAGAGGTTTGTCTTTGTCGTGCTCTTTGGAATGTTTGTCATTCGCATAAAGAAACAAAGTGAAAGAAAAGGGATTAAAACCCACAGTTATTTTTCATCCACATTCATTCATTCAACTCTTTTCCCTGCATTTTTTCGTACGGTGGTTTCAAAACCTGGATTATTGCACCCTCTCTCCCACCCTCAGTTTTCTCCGCTATATCTTCACCTGCCTTCTGCCCTCCTTGCCTCCCCCCCCTTCTCCCTCCCCCTTGTTCCATCCACCCTCTTTTCATCTCCCTCTCCTCTCCAGTCATCCATTCATCTCTGCCCAGTGGGGTCTCGCTGTGTTCTTATCTGATGTGTGGAAATGTCAGCAGTGTGGGGTGACAGAGGTGGGGACAGCCAGACAGTCTGTGAAGCTGCCCACTTCCTCTGGTCCTGCAGACTGACCGACAGACAGACAGACAGACACAATGGAGAGGCAGAGGGGCTTCTCTGGCCTTGTTTCTAATGGCTGAGTGCAGGGCTTCCTGCAACATCACTGCCTGAGTTTTCTTCCTTTCATTTGTCTCTTTTTTTTCCTGCTTTTTTCTTTATAGAACTTCCACCAGGATGGGAGAAAATAGATGATCCAGTGTATGGGGTCTACTATGTTGAGTAAGTAGTGCACAGAATAAAGCACGGGAACTCTTCAGTGCTGCCACGGGCTGGCAGCAGGCAGAAAAAACGAGAAATTTCTTCCCTGAATTTTTCTCGCCGTACATAATTAGAAATGAATCCACACTGTTTCACTGTAACATGTAAAACTCTTGTGTTCGCTGTCAGTTGGAGTGTTTTCAGTTTGCTCCGACGTTCAGAGCCAGATTGTGCCTCAGCTATTTTAGTCTTTCACTTGGTGTGAAATGTAGGCCATTTATCTTTGGGAAACTATTGCAGTAAGCATGTTTGTGTGTGCTTGTGTTCATGTGTGCATGTTATATGCATACCATCCCTCATGAGGGCCACAGGGCCTCAGCATTTATAGAAGTATGTTCGTGTGTTTCTGATGTTTTCCAGAGCAGCCCCCGGGGGCTCCACCATGTCACATATCTAACTGCGTGTGTGTGTTTTCCCGTTTGTCTCGACAATGATTTTTCTGATATACATTATTCACCATTTCTTGCGTTCACCCCAGTTACAGAGTGCATTCAGGTTTCATTTTTCAGTGCAGGTTAAGTAAGACCCCTTACGGGCACGCTGTGAATGATGTGTGAATGATGCCGTTATCACAAGAGAGTTTATTTCATTTGATTTTGGGGCGGGACTGTTTGTTGCATAGTTAGATGAGCATTGTTCCTCAGTGTTTTAATCAAAGCCTATCTCCCCCTCCCCCCTATCTTGACCTTGTCTCACTCCTCTTTTCGCCTTTCCTTTGCTTTTCCTCCCCCACTGCGCTCCCCTCTCTCCCGCTGACTTTTTACCCCACATCCTGTTTTTCTATTCCTATGGCCTCCTGTGATTCATTCCTTCTGTGCTGCAATCTTTGCTCCTCATCCCCACCCTCGCCCTCCCCTCTACCGTTTCTAAAGTCATATCAACAGGAGGACCCAGTATGAAAATCCCGTGCTTGAGGCTAAGAGGCGCAGGCAGCTGGAGCAGCAGCAGCCTCAGCAGCCTCAGCCTCAAAGCCAGCAGCCACCTGAAGGTGAGCGCTACATCCGAGGTTCGTTCACAAGCCCCCACCAAGGGCGTCATTTTCTTTCTTTCTCTTCATGGGTATGCCTGTCTATTGTCTCTGTGTGTGTGTGTGTGACGGTCAATATCAGTTAATGCTACAGTTCTGCTAGATGTTGCCTGCTACTGCCTTATGATTTGCTAAGTGCCCTCCCATAAAGGCATAACTATTATTTGCGGCTGGAAGCACAGCCCTTTTGTACTTAATTTCAGTTTTTCTGTGCAAGCTATCTGTTACTGTTTGTGCTCATAACCTGTAAGCTTTTCTCCTAAGGTGAATACACTTTGTTTCACTAAGTGTTAACAGCAGTGACACCAATCACTTCTTTCTAAGACTTTATTACGCCCTGCCGCTAAAAGTCAGCCAACACATAACTCTGGGCTGCTCCTGCTCTCTATCTGAAAACTTTTGTACTCGTAGGATGCCCTACAGGGAAAGGAATTGTAAATGCAGGTCGTCCCACGAGGGAATTCTCTTATCGTGCCCCACCTTCTGCTCATTCAGCAGAAAACGTTAGCTTCCCCTCCATTACATGCTGACCTCTCCCCATCTGAAGCCAATTTTTTTCTTCAAGCGACTCTCTTCATGCAGAGTTTTTAAACTCCCTCCGTTTCCACATTTTCATTGACTCTACCTCACAGCTTAGAATATTCCCATAGGTTGGAGTCTTCTATTCACTGGTTAGATGGCACAACTTCGCTGAGCTCTGCAGAAATCAGACTGAACCCAAACACACAGCACTGAACTTCTCAACAGTTTCCTGGCCGGGGTTTCTCCTACAGCCGGCCCACCGTGCTACTGTCCAGACTCCATCTAGAGAGCATGTGCTTCTTGTTGCAGAGTGGATTGAGGACTCGGCATTGGCAGGTGCCCCACTGGCCAGCTATGCAGCCAACCACGAGACCTACAGGGACCCTCAGACAGGTCCCCCGGTGCCCAATGCCATGGGACAAAAACGTAAGTTTCTTTGCAGAATAAAATTCGGAAACCTACAAAAAGGTTTTCTCGTTACTTTTTTTCTCAGCTTCTTACCCAGAGCGACTTATTATGGGTTTAACAAAGTTTGCACCCGGTGCTTGTGCCTAAGGCCATGCCGTTTTTATGTTCAGGCATCAGTTAGGAAGTGACAATATCATGTTAGATCATATGCTGATAAAGGTAAAGTCAAATTTTTACTAATCTCTAACTCACGGTAGAATACATTTTGGGGGGGTGCTTCAGAGAGGATCAACATTTTTATTAAGTCGAATCAAATATGTCTCTGCTAATGACAATTTGGTTCCAACCATGTGCTCCCATGGTAATTACTATAATTGTGGCTTGAATATGAAATACTAGTAATATTTTACTTTGTTGGCCATACACACACCCAGAGAAGCTGTGGGGTTCCCTCTTCTTGTTGTCACCTCCTTTCATACCAGCCTCCCACTAGCAGCTTGTGTAATTAGCCCGAAATGGGACAGAATTGACTGCCTTACCCTGTCTCATCCTCTTACTCTCCTTTGTAAACCTGTCAGCCGCCTTTCCCTTTCCCTGCATCAATCTCATTGTTTTACAGCCCACTTTATTACTGGCATTTGCCTTGTCTCAAGCCGCTTTCTCTTTGGTTAAGTTGTGTGTTCTGTCAGTCTTTCACACCCTTCCCTCACTCTTAGCATTTCTGCCTCTTACTGACTGACTGTCCTTCCCCTGGATGTTCTTTCTGTCTAAAGACGTCTTTAGAAATCTCTTTATCTAACTGCCTGCTTTCATCTTTCTCCCTGGTCTGTTTTAGCATGTCTGGTGAATAGAGAGGCTATCGGCACGTCTTTGTTACTTTTAGCCTGCCTAAAGAAACTCTCTTCAAGGGCATTGCTCACAAACACACTCGAGCAACAAAACCCCACAAACACAAAGGCAGATCCAGACTCCTTGAGTAATACATTTTTCATAGTATGCATAAACTGTACCTCTGCCCAAACATAATGTTCCACAGCTGATCCCTGAGCACACATTCCTCTGATGAGCAAGTCATCCTCTTCTTCCTTTCCTTCACCTTTGCCAACATTGGTCAGAAGCATTTGAAGTAATGCGTTGGAAGTGATTTCCCACAGCGTGGTTTACATTATGGCTGCTCTCAGACGGTCGGACTGGGCACGTCTGTAGTCAACCGCTGCTCTTCATTCCTTCCTTTGCAGTATAGATTAGGACTAGCACTTCAAAGATTACTTCAGTTTAGGATTTCTTTTTTAAACTGTTTTGTAGACATTATTTAAACAAAATGTATATCAGCCAGCGGGTAATCTGAAATAGTCAGTTTTAGCCTAGCAAGCATCTTTAATAATAATCGGGACTGCTTTTTTTAATGCACTGGTGCTGAGTGTGCTGTGTCATTTCTGATGGTGGCTTTTATTTGATCTTTTCTCGTTTCTTTTGCTTTTTAAGGTGCTCACTAAAAGCTTAATCTTAAAAGATTTTATACCAGTTTCAGTGAATTAGTACAACCTACATGGTGAGTTAATAATGTAATTTCCACATTTGAAATTTGTAGTTGAAGCCTCTAATAGGTGTATTGCGTTTGATAGATTTTCCTTTCAACCTAATTGATTTATCTGTTATGATCCACTCATTGTGATTCATGTTTAGGCAAACAATGTTCAACAGCTTCTATACATTTATCAGATCATCCCACAAAGTAATCTAGCTGTGAGTTGGATACATTAGCGAAAAGTGTTGCTATATTTCTGGCTTGACATTATTGAGAATGAGTATTTTATTCTCAATCATGCACACGAGCCCAGTGCCGCTTAAAAAGGTTTTTGCTTTTGTATCCACGTAAGCCTAGCTGAATTATCTGTGTCTGTGTGTTCAGGTGGGAAGCCTTTCTTTACTCGGAACCGATCTGAGCTCAAGGGGACCTTCATTAACACCAAACTGAAGAAGAGCCGCCGGGGCTTCGGTTTTACCGTGGTTGGAGGGGACGAGCCGGACGAGTTCCTGCAGATTAAGAGTTTGGTTCTTGATGGACCTGCGGCACTCGATGGCAAAATGGAGACAGGTTGGTCAAACGAATTCCCTCAATGATAACCTGTCAGAAGAAGTAGTGCTTCATTTCTGCTTTTCCTCCTCCTTCAAGGTGACGTGATCGTGAGTGTAAACGACACGTGTGTGCTCGGCTACACGCATGCCCAAGTTGTAAAGATTTTCCAGTCGATCCCGATCGGCTCCATGGTCAACTTGGAGCTGTGCCGCGGCTACCCGCTGCCTTTCGATCCCGACGACCCAAACACCAGCCTGGTTACCTCGGTGGCTATTCTCGACAACAAAGATCCCATCATAGTGAACGGCCAGGAGGTCTCTAACAGCTACGAGTCGCCACCCAGCCACAGCAGTCAGAGCACAAACAACGGCCCGGCCAACGGCGGGGGGGTACCCCTCAACGGCCTCCCCCGGCCCCAGAGCCCCTCCACAGAGGTGGCCTCCGATACTTCCTCCCAGCACGGCTACTCCAGCGACGTGGTCACCCTGGCCTCGGCCATCGCGACGCAACCAGAACTCATCACGGTACACATGGAGAAAGGAGACAAGGGCTTCGGCTTCACCATCGCGGACAGCCCCGGCGGTGGAGGGCAGAGAGTGAAGCAGATCGTGGACTACCCGCGCTGCCGAGGCCTCAGGGAGGGGGACATCATCGTGGAGGTGAACAAGAGAAATGTCCAGAGCATGTCTCACAACCAGGTGGTGGACCTCCTCAGCAAGTGTCCGAAAGGCAGCGAGGTCACGATGCTGGTGCAGCGCGGTGAGTGGATCCCCAGTCTTTCCTCATGCTCACTTGTTGTGTCAGTACATCGGTCCGTTGTACTGTAAGTCATTTGCACAGATGGAGATCACGTTGGCGGGGGGGAGCAGATGCCACATTCTCTGTGACACTCCCTGATTTATGTGCCCATATGTTGAAGCACCTCAGAACGAACCTTTGCCACGAAATCTGCATGATGCTATTGACAGAAAGTAGCAGCGCTCTGCCTTACAGGCTGGTTCCGCTCACAGAGCGCCTTTTATTGACACGCATATTTATTTATTCATGCAAATGGGGTGCAAGGGTAAGAATTGAGACCAGGTTGCAAAGTAGGTACTATAGAAAGATAATTAAGATTAGAGAGAGAGAAAGAAAGGAAGAAAGAAAGAAAAAAAGAAAGAAAGAAAGAAAAAAAAAAAAAAAAAAGAAAAAAAAAAAAAAGACAGACAGGAGGCGCAGAGGAGGACATGGCTGACACTGGCAAGAGGTGATAAAATGTTTACACTGAATGGCTTTGACAGGTAAAACTTAGCTATCCTGACGTGGAAGGAGGCCAGAAAAGGGAAAGTTAAAAGGGTAAACAGACAAGTAAAAGCTGAAAAGAAATATCACCATGATGTTTCAAGTCAAAGAGGCTGAATATTTTCCCCTTTACATTGACTATTCTCATCCTCACCTTCTCTGCCTGCCGACATTTCCGTTCTTAGCCAGCCATTGTGCGCTCTTTGGAAATAGTGCATGGGAATGATTCTGTCCTGTCTTCACATAGACAATCACTCTCCTATAGAGGCACTGAATGTGAACAAAGCAAAGGAGAATGGAGGAATAAAATGAAATGATTGAATTTCAGTATTTTGCCTTCATTCCGTGTCAGACTCAGAAAACCTCCAGAGCACTCTGGCTTTTGTGATCCAAATGAATGGGCAATTTTCTCTGTCACTCCATCCCTATCTTGCTTTAGGGCTTATTAATTCAAGTAACCAAAAAAGATTTTCTCTGACTGTTTGTACACATGTAGATTATCCCCTGTCCCAGTTCAAGTGCTTAGAACTCTCAGGGGAAATCGGTTAGACAAAAGACGGCCCATTCACGACAAAGTCTGTCTACTTTTCACTTTTTCTTTGTCTCTTCATGCGATACCCCGTCTCATCTCATAGCTCCATGACTAACTCTACTACCTTGTGCTCGAATCTGTTTGTTACCCAGAAATGATTAAAACTCATCTTGGGGTGGAGTTTAAATGTGCTGCCTGTAAAACAAGAAGGCAGGTTAGCTGGCCTTCTGTAAGTGATGGGCCTACCTTTGTTGTTCATAGACTGACAGGTGCGACTGTGACAGAGGGCCGAGGTTTTGGTTTTTATTTGCTCCCGTAGAAACATGGTAGAGGAAAAATGGGACAGTGCTGTTATTTATTTCCTCAGATTCCAGTTAAATGCAGTCCATTCAGGCTGGAGTATTTGTAAGTGAACCCAGGTATCACTGGCTTTCGGATTTCTCACTGACATGAAGTAGACAGATGGAAAGGGGGTGCGTGTTATAAAAGAATCTTTTAACCTAAAAATGTGACTTCTTCAATACATTAATCGTGTTCATTCCCAATTTGTATTTCTTCATCCCGCTGGATTTCCCACCCGACAGAATCTTCATGCTACACAGTAAATCTTTGTAATTCCCACCTTTCACATAACACACTCACACTCCATCATTCATATGATGTAAGTTTTTACTTTTTCTTTTCTTTTGTAGGAAATGCACATACACAGCCCTCATACTCACGAGAGCACCACCTCAGCTCCTCGTCTCTGTGCTTTAATTACTCTCCTGCTCACACTTTCTTAGCTGCCATTTCATTTTACATCACTCCACGGGCATCAGCAAAGCACGCAGGCCTCTAATTGGGGTCCTGATGTCAGCTTTACTTATAAATACATGCATATCTCTCTTGCTGGTGCTTTCACTTTTCATTCATCCATCAAGTGTATATTTTGTTTGTGCATGCAGACATGTTTGCACATACACACACAGTCAGAGACACAAACAGTCAGACGTCCAATTATAGATTACAGGTAGAATGACCCAAGTCCAAACTTAATTGGTAACGCCCCTCCCCCCCCTTCTGTATCTATTCCCAGAGTGTCGGTTTGTATTCACACTTGCTTGCCCACATGGAGACGGGAGCCAATCCCATAAGGTTGAGAATATGCACAAATGAACTTGTGTGAAAATTCAGAAGCGTGTCCTAACGCCATTCCGGACTAATCTTTTTTTAAAATCTTGACACATTTTGCGGGGAATATTTTACAGGGTAATCACACCTCCTACTTTAATATGCACATACCAATGCAGAAATAATTGATAACTTTAATTGGTTGTATGCTTTATTATCTTATTTTAATTTTATTTGATTTTTTTACAGTATTTAATATTGTCTAATTATACTGCTCTAATGGCTTCATTTTCCCCTGCCCGTCCTCTCATGCACCCACATTCACATGATTCCTTTGCTGTTGTGCAGATGCATATTTCCTGTCTTTTGTTGCCATTGAATAGGTTTAAATATGACAGGGTCCACAGGGACACACACACACACACACACACACACACACACACACACACAGTCACACACAAAACCTGCTTCACAGTCCGCTCACAGGGAAAACTTGTTTGGGTGTAGAATGTCTAAAACATAGCCATTCAATAGCCCGGCAATTCAAGCCATTAGTCAACAATAGAAAAATTGTCTATTTTGTCCCAGCGTAGCTGTTTGCTTTCTTCTTCACCCGTTTTGCGAGGCCATTCAGGTGTTACAAAGAACGCAGACAAATGTGTTCTTGCAGTGAAAGCTTGGAGCAGTGCGCAGGAAATGGAAGGACGCGTACCTGCAGTGGATATGGGGAAAAGGGTGGATGGATAAGAGATGATGAAAGAGCAGCACAGAAACCCCCATGATGCTCTAGTCTTGCCCCCCTCCCCCCGCTTCATGACTCATCAATCAACAGTGACACATTAGTCCCTGTTGGGCGATCTGGCCTCACACTCCTGTTCTCTCATAGTAAGAGACGGGCTTTTCTGTCTCCTCCCACACAGCCAGTTGACGTACAAAGGACTGGTCACAGGGCTGAAACGGGTGAGAGGGCTCAAACAGTGTCATGGACTAGAACATTTATGTTTTTCTCTCTAAATAAACGGGAAAGCACAGATGTCACCAAGGTGTCGCTGCATGGCTTAGGTTCTTGGAAAACCATTAGCATTAGATAACACGGCAGATTGTGTAGAAGGTAGAATTTTGTTCCTGTTTTTTTTCTTGGCTTACATTCATTTATTTTCGCTCCTTTGCAGAAAGAAGTAGACCTATGTTATTTGAGATTTGTGTGTTTGTGTAGTGAAAGCAAGTAGATCATTGGTACATTATATAGCTCCTATTGGCATAATGGAGGTTGATTTAAGTGCCTCCTGTCAAAAAGCACTTCAGCGTACTTTGAGGACACACTGATAGGCATAAAGATATTTACGTGAACTTGCATGACCCACACATACAGAATTGCAGTTACCGGCACGCACCTTCATAAAACCGGCCAAATGTGAACTGTCTGGTGTACTCCCATTAGAAAGAGATAAACGCTGATGATGGGTCCCTGCGCAGACCAAAGCAGGAAATCAATTCCCTGTATAGGCAGGAAGCACAGTTTTTTTGCCCACTTGGCATTAAAAATCCTGCTGACTGAACGTTCCAATGGCACCATAACAAACAACATTGCAGTCTGGAAAAGTAATGATGGGGATTGGGGGGCCCACCGACTAGGTGCCCATGATTCTCCACATTTCATGTTTTTTTTACTTGCTTTGGGCCTGAACCTGTGAAACACTGCCTGTTGCACCGGGTAAGGTGAGCGGCCCTCTCCCTCAACACCCACCAATCTCTCATGTCATTAGACCTCTATAGCCACTGGGTGAGTCGTAAATCTCCACCACCGCACCATCTTTAGTTTCCATGACAATGCTCTGCAGGCGGTCTGTACTTGGGCCTCCTCTTGATTGAAGTGTGTGTTTGGGGGGGGGAGGGGGTTCCACCCTTCTTTTTTTTCTCCTTTTTTTTTAAAAGTCATGGAAGGGTTTTGATTTCAAGAAAAAGCTAATAGCGCTGTTTTCCAAAGGGCTGTCACATGCAGGCTGCTGATATGCACAAGGTTTTTGTATTTGGTTTTTTAATTATTTTTTTTATACTTATTCACTGTACAGCAGAGAGCAGCTCACCACAACAACTGTTGCTTAGAAACCGTCTGTCAGTCCCCACGGTCACCAGGCACTGTCGCCACGGTGACAGATGGACCTGCCGGTTGGAGGCCATCACTACTAAGCATCTAATCTGCTAGTGTGAATACACTTCCACTAACTGTGGATAGACAGCCTAATCTGCTTAGTAACGTCTTCCATTTGCTGACTGCTGTGCGGCCAGGTAGAGCAACAGTTCCTGCCTGTTGACGGAAGCCATGGCCATTGTTCAGCTGAAGATATATCACCCTGTTAAGCATAAATTTATCCATTTTCTACGCCCGCTTACTCCAATTCGGTCCTAGCTGACATTAGGTGAGAGGCGGGGCCCACCCTGGGTAGGTCCCCAGTCCCCAGGGGTCAGTTTAGAGTCACCAACTAACCTAACATGCCTGTGTGGAGAAACTTTAGCAAAATGATTATTCACATTTAATTCAAACCAGGGTTCTCAGACAGAATGTTCTGCTTTATCCTTTGTGCTTAGACCTCACGTGTCAGTGCCATTGAGCACTTTATGTATCTGTCCTATCGCTCATTTTTCAGTGTTAGGTTCTGTGAGAGGACCCAGAGTAGATTTTAAGAGCTAGAATTATTATATTCTTTGATGTCTCTTAAATCGTAGAGATAACACAAAAATGAAGTTCCCCTCTCTGATTTTTTTCTTCTGCAGCTGATTTCAGAGAGCAGGGAAATTAGCAGAGGCAGTCCAGGCCTATTATTTGACAGCTAGAGGCACTTAGGATTTATTTGAGCTTTCTAACTCAGGCTGTCAGGGTGCAGTCCAGATCGACCACCTCTCAAAAGCCGCTCTTTCCTTTCTGCTGAATGTAATTTGGAATGGAGGTTGACCCCAACATCCACGGTATCTTTTGATCCCAGAGCTTCAAACAAATTCTGGAACTACACCTACATACAGATCCCGGGAGAACTGCTCCTACCTACAAACCACCAAATTGCCTACAGTCCATATTGAACATACTTCCTCCAAACTCACTGTGACCTCTTTATTGCCCTTTTTATGACTTTTTTGCGATGAAATTTTCTGCATCTAGTTTTTCATTATTGGTTTGTTGAAATTTTGTTTACTTTAATAGAGTAAGACGTTTAATTCATGTCGATTTAAGCCTGTATTTCCCGTTTCGGGAAAAAAAGCTAATTCTGTTGCTGGTGTGTGTCCATGATTTCTGCACAGCCTTGTGCGCTGACAGGCAGCAGCAGGTCAGCGGCGGCTGATAGATGAAGGATAATCGAACTCTAAACTGACGCACTGACTGACAGCATCCTCAGCCCCTATCTGGACATGACAGTGTGATTATGTGTCTTATTCAGGGGACTGCTGACACTCCCAACTGAATGATTCCAACTGGGATTTCAATCCAGGCATGAGGTTGATTGAACCCAGACGTGTGTGTATATGTATGTGTGTAAAGGATCTCATCCTGTCAGCTTCTGTAAAGGTTTAACACACGTCAGCGGCCCATATTGATGGAGGAAGCTGCCTGAGCTCCTTCCCACTTTTAAAGTCTTACACTTCTATCTGTTGTATGGTGTGTGTGTGTGTAGTTCATGCTGCTCCTCATGTTGTATCTTAATTAGTATTGTAGCAGAAAACAAAAACAAAGAAAAATCCTGAATTTCTTCTTAGTGTAAAGCATTCCTTTCCCCCTGAGCACACAGAGCTAATTTTCCTGTTTATCAGGGTGTTTTTTATTTTCATTTCATCAACCAGCATTGCGATTCTTTTTTTTTTTTCAAAATACATTTCTGCAGTGATTTCTTTTTTCTTTTTCTCTTTGTGTTCACTGCTCACTCGCGCAGAAACATTTCTGTTATACCTCAAGCACACTTTGATTTGTGTGGAGACTACAGCATGAAGCCATCTGACGCTTCCCTCTGTGTGTGTGTGTGTGCGCGCGTGCAGTGGAATAGATGTGAGGGTGAAGGAGAGAGAGAGAGACTCAGATGGAGAAGAGAGAGGGAGTTGGGAAGGGAGGGAGGATGATGATGCTGCGAGAAGAAACAGGAGTGAGGACAGTGTGCAGTGAGGTGAGAGAGAGGGAGAACGTTGGGGGGGGAAAAAAAAAGAAAAAAAGAAAAAGGCAGCAAGAAAGGGAGAGACCCGGAGGACACGCCAACTGCCTATAGATGCTGGAGCCTTCGACAGCGGAGCGTGGGGCTCAGCGGACACAGGAAGATGGTCTCAGTAAGAGGGGAACTGACGGTTGCCTATAATTTAATGTTCAGTATCTTGGATTCCTTCTCCATGGGTAATGCTACGGCCAGGAACTCCAGAGCAAAGCTTGCTTTTCCCCCCCCCCCTCTTTACTCTCCTCTCTTTCTTCTCTGGCTCAATGGCTTTCCAGGACTAACTCACACTTTCCTCCCGCAAACACACTCACTGGCAGGCGTGCGCCACCGCCGCCGCTGAGGGCGGCCACGGTCTAGCGGGCGGCGGGTTAGCCCTTGGGGCTGGCCCCGTTCTTTCGCTGCACCAGTCAAGCCGAACGCTGGCCGTGGCCGTGATGCGGAGAGAGATCGCGCTGCCTGCTCCTATTCTCCTCCGCACACACCAGCAGCCACTGGCCAAGCAAGAGAGGCGAGCAGGGAAAGAGAGGAGAGGCGGGAGTTGAGGGGCTAGATGAGAACTGTTGTGATTTCCCCCCCTCTTTTTTTCGGGAGTCGGCGTTCTTCTTTTTTCTTTTGTTACCCTGCCTTTTTTTTTTTTTCTTCTAAAAAAAAATGGATTACGAACTCCATTGGTAACCTTCTTCATTTGTCTTCTTTGTTTTTCTCTGTCTGGCTTTTACAGGAGTGGCACCTACAAAGAAGAGCCCAAAACTGGTAAGTGGATTTTTTCCGATGGAATTCTTCTCCTTTCTCGTCCGTCCTTCATCCACGCGTGTGCAATCCGCGAGAAAGATTATTCCGCTCACTTTAGCCGCCCGTTATCTCCTCCGGGAGACCCGACCTCCAGCCTACGAGGCTGTAACTTGTCCTGATGTTGTTGGTCTGTTTGTAGACGTGCGGTGTTGCTCCGTGTGGGGGGTGGATCCCTGTAGCTTTACAGGAGCCCCCTCCGTCTCCCCCTCTGGCGGGGGATGGGGCGGGTAGGCTTTGATGCTCGGCGTGAGCTGGGTTCCTAACACGCTGATGATCGCATCATGCTGATGCTAAGTTTTGCAGTATGAGAGCGGAATGTGTGATCACAGCCCACCGCTCCGTCCTGCAGCGTCTCTGCTGAGGGGGCCGGCCCACTGAACGTCTGTGTGTTATACTTTTGTTTTTTGCAGGATGATTTTGCACTGGCTCCACCGTACAGAGATTACACTAGGAGGGTATGTGATGTTGTTTAGATGATGGGATGAAAGTTTTTGGGGGAATGAGCTGCTGGGCTTTTGGGTGCTGGGTGTGCGTACGATGGTGGCGGTTCTCTCGTGATGTGATTCATATTTTCTTGACAGTCCAGTTGAGGCTAAACTGACCGATTAACGCGAGATGGATCGAGGCAGCAAACGTGAATCTAGTTTGTTGGTGGCAAAGCCAGACCAAAGCCGTTTTCATGTCTCTCTGCTCTCCTCCTCCCTATCTTCTGTCTGCTTAATAAGTTAGCGAGCATTAGACCGGTCCTGGAGCACAGCTGGAGAACACCCTCTACGTGGAAGGTCAGATCTAATAAATCCATCAGGACCCAGAGATTTGTCTTCATTTGAAGAGGCAGTCAGATTCAGACTAGCTGGAACAAAAATGCTGTCTTATCATCTAATGGCAACGCCATTTTCGTTGACCGGAGAAAGCCGAACCAAAAGAAATGATTTAGTCTTCACTGGGAAGTATTGTTCCTGAGGTCTGACTGTGGCTCCGAACGGGAGCTTCATGTCTGTTTATGACTCAAATTTCCGTTCATTACCGAGCCCGTTGCGGTTCCACTCCCAAACCCGCCAGCTCCAACTTAATATTTTCAACAGTATCAAGCTTCTTTTATATCTTAACAAGCTTGATGAATATAAACATGAACTGCAGAGGTGTAGGAGGCTGATTCAGTGAGTAATGAGTCTGAATTTATTGAAGACATCGCAGCACTTTGAAGGCCAAACACTTTGATATTTAAGAACAGACGAGCCGTTCGCCCCCGCCCTTTCCCAGTGTATTTCGGTCCACCACGTCCACAGCAATGTGTGGTCCTGTGATGTGAAGGCCTTAACTGCTGTCATTACCAATCACCGTCTTAAAATATCTTCAAACTTTTGCGCTTTTCTCTTGTCGTCCTGCTTCCTGTTTGAAATCCTCGTGATGGTGAAAATTCTGCAGACAAATGGTGAAGAGGTGACGGTAATGAGAGACTGGGAGCAGGCTGTTTGTGCGTTACTCTGCTCAAACACCTGAAATACTTGAGCAGGTGCTTAAGTGCCCATGTCATTGAGAGGCTGATGGCTGTGGGGGCTTTTTGCATTTTTCACCAGCTCCAGTTCAAATCCCTCTCCATTTCAAACCCCACAAGTTCTTTTATCCACTGTGAATGTTTTCCCTGTACAGTAGGGAATGCAGATCTTTGTTAATTTATTCCACTCTGTTCAACAAAAGGAGTAGGCAAAGCTCCCTTGTAAATTGGGCGTGTTTCTCCTAAAGCCGAATGACTTAATCATCACAAACCAATGAAGTCTTTTACCCACTCTTCATTTGTAAGCTAAAAATAAAATAAAAGAGCTTGATTTTTCTTTCTGTGGACGAAGCTAGCAGCACTGCTATTATATACATACTTTCTTTTCCCTAGAGGAGACTCAATCACTCATTTTGTTGAAACTCTAATCCTTAAAACTCTTAGGAACCGTCACACTCAATTGTCCAACGATCCTGTTTTCTCCTCTCACAAAACCCAGCCCTGTTTCCTTCTGCCCTCTCTGCTGCTCGGGATGCAATAACCTTTTTTTTTTTTTAAGTCGCTGTCTCCTTGTCCATCTTCTCTGTTGACTTCTCCATCTACTCCCAACCTTGTCTGAAAAAGTCAGCTCATATCGATCTACCTCCTCAACAGCAGTTGTCAAGAAAGGACAGTCAGAACAGCTCCCAGCACAGCGTGTCCAGCCACCGGAGCGCCCACACGGACTCGCCCGTGCACCCGTCCCTGGCACCTCCCCTCAGCGAGAGCTCCGCTCCCCCGCCCCCCTCACAGCCATTGCCGGGCCTTCCGTCCCAGGACTCCCAAGCAGAGGGCACCATCCAGAGAAAACCGGACCCTTTTAAGATCTGGGCCCAGTCCAGGAGCATGTATGAAAGTAGGCGTAAGTATATGCATTTCTGGTGGCGGTTGGATGAGGGCTGCATGGGGCGTTGGCTTTGTGAAGACCCCCCCGGTGTAGTTCCGTTGGGGGGGGCTGTGGGGGAAGGAGCTTCTGGGAAAGGGAGCCTGCCTGTAAGTAACTTCAGAACAAAACTCACAGTGCTCTGACTCACTGCACTTCCTCGTTGGGTCTCTGGGGAGTCTCTGTTTGGGGTTCAGGTGCAAATGGGCTGGAAAAGACCTTTTCAATGTACTGACTAATGATAAACTACAATTAAGCATACTTAAGAAGCATGAGGATACAGTTAGCTTTGCTGTTTTTTGTGTATTTCTAAACAGGCAGCTTTGTCTTTTTGAAACTTTACAAAAACTCTCCTGAAACCGATTTCACTTGCGTTGAAAGCCAGGGAGCTTTGTCATCAAACTTGAAACACAGACTTGAAAACGCTTTTGTCATGTAACACTAAATGTAACACACACTAAATGCCATCACAAACAAGAGTTTTGACCAAATCTGTTACACCGGGTACTCGGCACATCGCACCATTCAGAAAACGCAAACAACGGCAGACGCCTGACCAACAGAGCGACAAACTCTTGGTGTGAATTGCGAGCCATTTGAAATAAACGTTTTCAGAGTGCCGGAACGGTTCCATGTGAGGCAGAAGTCTCCCATATGTTTTTTATCCTAATGATGCCATTGCCGTCCAGCTCTTGACCAGCAGCACACTTTCCCAGACTTCCCTGAAGACATGTTGGGTGTATAATTACCAGCAATTGTGAAGTGGATGTCAATGAAATGCCCACCCACTGCCTTCCGTTCTCATTGTGAGTGGATAGCTCCAATTAATGAGAATAACCCTCATACTCCCTGTAAGGTTTGAAATAAGCAAAATGCATGGTTGGACAAAAACTTTGTTCTGGAAGTGCTGATAAAATCCAATATTGTCCTGTTCCTGACTCATGTAGACGTCAAACAGAGAAGCCTACATTCGGAATGCTGTGAGCTCTCATTCAGAAGTCCTTTCCTGTGCCCATGGGCCTTCATTCCCATACTAATTCTCATTCCAAATTCACTGTAATCACAAGTTTTACTGAGATCCTGGTCTCTCAGCACACAATGCGATTCTTCTTTCGCAGAGAGAATCCTCATAAACGGCATTAATATTAAAAAAAAAAATGCAGACAGAAATAAGAGCAGCCTTGCTCGTGCTTTATTGGACCCCATTTTGATTATCACTGAGCTTTAAAATGTTCCCAGATTAATGTGCCCTCTGTCGGAGCCGTCCACCTTCTTTTTCTATCATCGCTTATGGCCTTCCGGTCTTTTTAAAATATCGATCAGCTCATGCCCAGTTGCCTCGCTGCATGGATCATTTATGGATCTAGGAATTGGCAGAGGCGGGGTGTGCAGTTGACCCTTTGGAGTGCAGGAGCAGATTGAGACGGTTAGCCTTTGACTCTTCCTCCACCAGTTCCTCCATAGGAGCATTGTGATAGATTGGAAGAGATGTCTTTGCTCTGCAGGGACTTTAACTGTTGACTGAAAGAACAGATTGGAAACAGACTTCTTCTGTCTTCTGCCACGCTGCGGCCTCTTTGGGGCTTTAGCGGCCTTGGCACTGCTGAAAATAGGGAAAATCTGCCTGGGAGTTTGCTCAGAGGTGTGCGTGTGTGTCTACGCATTTTGCACAGCTGCAACCACACAAAATCATGGCCACACACACACACACACACACACACACACCTTCTCTTGGTATGTGTTGTACAACCCTCTCAAAATAACTGGTCATTTGTCTTAGCATGGCCTTTGCGTAGTCCCTGTCTCTTTAAATTGCAAGGTGGCAATAACTTTTGCACAATAAATAGACAGAAAATAAACAAAAAAACATTCAAATGAACTATTTATTCCATCCCAAATGTAAACTTTCAAAAATGTCTACTTTTAAGCATTGACGATTGCCACCAAGAAAGGTCAAACATAATAGGTGGTATTTATTAACTTCAACCACAACTTCGCCATCCAATTACCAGCCGAGAGCAGGCAGCAGCGCCACTGTAATGGGATGGTGGCTGTCTTGTAACTAGTATACATACAAACAGGATTCTGCCTCGTTGAGTGAGCTATCCTTAATCTCCACACTCCCCAACTCTGAAAACAAATACTGTGCTCCATTTGAACAGTCCACCAAGTATGACTGCCATGGTGAAAATCAAGGGATATATAGAAAATGGAAAAGTTGGCTATTTCAGGCATCAGAGGAGAGCTTTAGCCTGATTATTTCTAGTTATCCCGAAACCTGTTTGACCCTTCTAAGCTTTGTACTCGCATCACACCCAAAAAAGATTCTTTGGTCTTTTTGATCGATCTCTTGTTTGTTCTTTCTTTCCTTCTGCTGTGTAATACTGCACTTTGATGACAAAGCTCAGAGCAATTATTAGCATTTTTATTTACATTTCTAAGTCAAAAAGCTTATCGTGTGACTTCCTAGGAACAGTTGACAGATCTGTTACTGGTGGCTACAAACCCCAATTCCAGAAAACAGCTAATAAGCCCCTGCACTGGTCCAGGCAAAGAGAATTCCCCATGGAATGCTGCTGTTGCAAAGTGGTTGATCATAGTTTGTTTCTTGCACAGTTCCAGACTTCCAGGAGCAGGACATTTTCCTGTGGAGGAAGGACACAGGGTTTGGCTTCAGGATCCTTGGAGGAAACGAGCCAGGAGAACCAGTGAGTCTCTCAAACTGTGTTTACAGCTGAAACCTTTCCAGTTTGTTTTTCACCAGATTTCTGCACTCTATATTCGGCTTAAAGCTGTCAGCTAAAACTGACAAGATTCAGTTACTTGACTGATAAGGGAGCCATATTCCCAGAACCAGTGCAAGCTTCTATAGCGTTTTTGTGTGTATCTTTCCCTTTGTGTATTTCTGACTTTGTGTTTTGGACAATTGCGTAGTTCTTCTTTGATCTGAGAACATCACTTATAGAGACACCATGCGCTTTTCTTTCCTTTCTTTAAAGAGCCACAGTCACTGTTTGTTGTTGCTTACTGGTCTTGCACTGCTTCTTTTCCCCCCCTCACTTCAACAAAAAGATAATGACTTACTTCAGAACATGGCTCGGATAACAACTGAGGGGAGAAGATTAAAGATGTTGCAGTGGTTTGCCTTACTGTGCCAATGCTTCTTATGCCATGTTTACAGCTGCTTAGAAACACATAACAAGGATTTCTGTTTTTTTTTTTTCTTTTCTTGTTAAAGTCCAGAAAAAGGTATGGCACAAATCTGTTTGCATCCATCTGTGACGTTGCGTGCTTTGTGTGTTTTTTCAGATCTACATTGGCCACATAGTGAAGTACGGCGCTGCGGACGAGGATGGACGCCTCCGGTCCGGGGACGAGCTGATATGCGTGGACGGCACGGCAGTGGTGGGCAAGTCTCACCAACTGGTGGTGCAGCTGATGCAGCAGGCCGCCAAACAGGGCCACGTAAACCTCACCGTGCGCCGCAAAACCAGCTACGCGGGTAAGGAACGGGCCGGCAGCTTTCCAGGGGGGGCAGTGTGTCACGTTCAGGCTGAAGAAACAAACGGCGTGTCCAGTGTGATTGGTTTACGTCTGACCAGCCTCCGATTCTGCAGTACAGCGGTAATCAGGTGCTGAAATACTGCTCTACGCATTGCCAAGACCTGCATTTCTAGCCAGGTTTATCTTAACCACAGGTCCAAAAAAGAGCCCGGGCGCCTGCAAGCTGCAGGCCAGCGCCACTGCCTCCCTCCTCTTTATTAGCTTGGCTATGGAAACAGGCAGTCACTACCATAAGCAAACACCTACGCCCCATCACCGCCTCCCCACCGCTCCTATCAGCCCAGCTCTGCTCCTCAGCAGGCGATAAAGAAAGCCCCATAAACATGATGGAGAGGGTGGTCAACCTTCTGCCCAGTGACGGCAGCCAGACATTATTGCGTCCCCGTTCCCCGTCGGCCTCAGAGCGCCGAGCGCGAGGCACATTCGTAGCACAGCTGTACAGGAAATGAATCGTGGAATGAAATGTCCGGACAGAGCAGACGGGCCGTGCCTTCAGTTCATCTTTTTGTTCAAAATGGATGACAGGGGGAGAGGGGTGTCGCGGCCTGTATTCCCCAGCTGGGGAACAGGTTCAGTCTTATCAGGAACAAAATAAACTCGCTGTTCATTTTCAGATTGTAATCGTGATGCGATTTTTACGGGGCTGCTGTATCTTAACACCGTCCGCCTTTGTGGTCCTATTATGCATCGTCATTTCCACGCCATTGTGTCCTGAACTTGTACAGGCGGTGTCCGGACCGTCTTCATTTCCCCTTTTTGACATTTTGCGCTCCGTATCTTCTCCGGAGATCTGTCTCCTCTGTGACTGCTCGTTACTTTTTAACCCCTCCGCCGTGTTCGTCTTTTGTCGTTTTTGCAGTGAAAGCGGAGGGAGACGTGCCTCCGTCGCCGGCCTCCTCGCACCACAGCAGCACGCAGGCGCCCAGCCTGAGCGAGGACCTGGGGAAGCGCACGCTGCAGGGCAGCCAGAACTCCCTCAACACCGTCAGCTCCGGCAGCGGCTCCACCTCCGGCATCGGCAGTGGAGGCGGCGGGGGAGGGGGAGGGGGAGGGCCCGGGATGGGCGTCGGCGGGAACGCCGCGGTCCCCGTGGCGGCCCCCGCCCTCTCCTCCCAGCCCCCCGGCGCCAACTCGGCCGCCCCCCCCCTCCGGCCTGCAGCCCTACGACGTGGAGATCCGCCGCGGCGAGAACGAGGGCTTTGGATTCGTCATCGTCTCGTCGGTGTCTCGTCCCGAAGCAGGCACCACGTTCGGTAAGACCCGCCCCAGTCTTTTTTCCCCCCGCAGTCCTTTGAAGGTTGTGAAATGTCTTTGAGCGGATTTCTCTGGATGGCACCTGTAAATGCCAGTTTCACTCAGCAAAACCTGTAACATCGTCTTGCTTATTTTTGGGTGTGTCTTTTTCTTTCTGGGATGTCTTTGTATCGTCTCTAAAAACCTAAGAGCGCTAAATAACCTGACTTCTACCACAGATTCAGGCTATTTACAGTCCTGCCTGATCAATATTAGCGGCGCTTTAAAGAAGTTCTTCTTCTGTCTCATATTCACTCCAGCTTGTCAAACCAAAGACACTGTGAAGCCCTTTCTTCCCCTGCAGTTGCTGCTACACTTGCACAACGCTTTCATAATTGATCACAAGCAAAGTAGGCCTTACGTAAGGGATTGGTGTTATTCAGCTCAACTTAAATGGCTTCAGTTGGCACTAAAAGCCAAATGACAGCTTAATGAGAATGCAATACTGCAGGGAGGATAGATAGGAGAAATAATCGGTGCGAATAATTTGAATTTTACAGTGCAGCATTGCAAAATTCACTCTTAATTATTGTGTCTGTTTTCAGTTCAGTTTGCGTTGCTCAGCTGTTTATGATGTCATTGTTCCGGACATTTCAACCATATAGTTGGAACTGTTTTTTTTAGAAATCGGTAAACGTATCATTCCTTTGAACAATCATTGGTGGGTTTTCAGTGCAGTGCACGCCTCGCCTCGCTGCTTCTGCCTGTCCTACTACGACAATTCTGCCGTTCTCTGCTTGTCCGTTAGCATGTGGGAACCAGGGAAGGTCTGAAAAGATCAGCCTCACAGGGTGGCGTGAGCAGGCCACAATCAGAGGGCAGCACAAACAAGCTGTGGGAAGTCCACTTGAAACATTTCTTCCTCTTTCACTGTGCAATTGTCAGCCTTAAGTGGTGAAATTCAGTGTAACAGACAGATAGCGTTTGGGGTTAGTAAAAGGAGGGGTCGGTATGACATTAATGTATAATAGTGGAAAAAAGGTGGAGAGAGATTGATTGCAGCAGACAGAAAGGTATCTGAGACTTGGCAATGCAAAATTGTCCTCCATTCACTTTTTAAAACCTAGATAGATACCTTATTTATATTCCATGTGCTGCTTCAGCACCACATATAAATGAAAATAAAAGGGGTGTAAGACTCCTCTTTTGACATAAATTAGTTTCCAGAGAAAGAAAGCATTGATAAAAGCCTTGAGAACTGCAATAGAATAGACACATTTCCTATCCGAGAACATTTGAATTGGCCTGTCTTTGCTAATGCCTGCATATATCCCACTGTATCTTGATCCTCCTCTTCTCTCGGTACCTTTGGCTTGGCTGGCTGTTGGCTGTTGGTGAATTAACCCTGTTGATCCTCTTTTCTGCTCCCTTTCCCACCTTTTTTTCCTGTTTTTCCAACCACAATCCCTTACGACCCAAAACGCGCACACCTGTACACACTAAATCGTGCAACATGTCAATGGTGACCAAAGCTGGAAATGCATGTGTGGCCATGCCTCACAAAATAGGACGCATAATCGAGGGGAGCCCGGCGGACCGCTGTGGGAAGTTGAAGGTGGGCGACCGCATCCTGGCCGTTAACGGATGTTCCATCACCAACAAGTCCCACTCTGACATCGTCAACCTCATCAAGGAGGCTGGGAACACAGTCACTCTTCGCATTATTCCTGGAGATGGTGAGTAGAGAGCTGAGACACGACTTTCCAACCTAACGGTGTTTATTATGAATGCTGTGTTTAAATAGAACTCCCCTTTCCTGTTGTGAGCTGCTGCTAAATTGGACCCCTGGACTCTCATTGAAGGTTGGGTTTAGTTTCTGAGTTGTGCGGTTGATACTTGAACTGTTTGTGTATTACTTGCACATACAGTAGAATAGATTTTTGACAGCACTGGGCTGATCTGGAGAAGCAGACAGGTATATCAACAGGGAAGCCCAACAGTATCCTCCTCTGGACTGGCCCTGCATTAAAACCCTAAACCATCTATATGTATTTTGGCAAATTAGGTATTTTCAGTGCAGATGTCTTTTAAACCTATCTAATTAGTCAAATAGTCAAGATAAACCTTAAATAATATAGAAAAACAAAGCTCTCAGGCACATCTGTAGAGGCCAGTTTTACTACCGAGTCAGATTATTTGAGAAGCAGGTGTTTAATGGTGGCATACAGGAGCAGTTCTTATGAATAGCTCTAGTGTTGAATGAAGCTTGCAGTTTCTTCGGTTGTTTTCAAAGTGGATGGGAATCTACCCCGCTGCACCTTTTCTGCCTTCAGCATGCCTGTGCTGAAGAACACGCCACAGCAAATAGGTCTTCAGTGTGCATGTGAGTGAAGGAGAGAGACAGCTCTCCGAACTTCCTCTGTGTGCGGGGTCTTATCGGACTGGTTTTTAGGAAACTTTGTTGGCATCGCATGTCAAACAGAGCTCCTGAGAGTCCTCGTTTTTTTTTTTACAGACAGATCACTCTGGCATGCCTCACAAATGCTGATGACTCTAGTGTCTGCGTGAGGAAAGCAAAGCTCCCCCGTCAACCGGCTCAGGCAGAAATTGGAGCTGGTTGTCCACCGCTTGCTGCTTACCAGCTCGTTTTTTTGTGTGTTTTTTTTCTAGATCTGTTTGTTTTGGGGTTTTTTTTGTTCCTTTGGAGCAGTTGATTAGCACAGTGAGCCCAATCTTTCTCGCAACAATACACACCGAGTGAGGCAGAAAGGGCGTGAGAGGAGTAACTGGATATGCTTTATAGGAACGTTCTGGTTTGTGTTCATGTGTCAAACAGAAAGCCCGTCTGACACGAGCACAGAGAGAGGGCTGGTGAATGATTCTGGCTTGTCATTCTCCAGCTATGGTTCGAAACGTGTCTCAGACTGTGTGCACAAATTGGTGCTCATTTCTCTGTGAAACAGGCCCGCGTAAAAACGTTTGGATGAGAACAAATGCTGCAGCAAAAGCTTCCTCTATCTGAAGTCCTGTCAGCTCACCTTTTCTCCGTGTGGAAGCACGGATCCAGGTTTGAAGTGACTGTTGCTTAAAACTTCTGCCGTGGCAATGGAAATTGGCACGAGAGTCTTCATGCTCTTGCACCCTAAAGCACGCACAAGTGGCTCACGCCTTAATAAAAGCCTGTGTCTCTGCAGCCTGCAGTCAAGGCGCAGGCGAGCTGCACCTCATTACCTCCACTGTATGAGAGAGGAGACACACATGAGGATTTTCTTTAAAATCACATTTCATATATTAGATATTGCTCTGTGCAGACCTACTTATCTGAACAGTTTTTGCTTGTTTTCATTCTACTTGTCTCCATCTACTATTTTCCTTTAGAAATTGACTTTTTGTATTTTACCCCTTCTCCCCCTTAGTCCACTTAGGTCTGGAGGGCATATTGCCAGGCTCAGAGACAGATTACAGATAGAAATGTGCTTTCTCTTTGCACATTTATACGCAAGAGAAGATAACAGGGAGAGGGATGGGAGCAGGACGGGAAGAGCGACTGATTGACAGAGGAGAGATGAATGAAGGGAGGTGCAGAATGGAAGGAGTTAGTTGATGCAAATGAGCATGTGGAGGGGTGAATAGTGTTTATGGGATAATTGTGAGTCTGCCGAGGCCCAAGACGAGACATTCAGCACACGCCCATTCAGACTGAAACAGAAGGCTATCTCGCCCCCACTCCAACTTAATTAGTGGTCTTTTTACCTCAATGGATAACTCAAGGGGTTCAGCCTAAAGGCTTCCAAGTGGACCAGTGGAGGTGAAGGATATGAATAGCTAAGAGTGGACCTGACCAGGAGAGGCATGACAAGTGGCTGACCTATGGCTGGATGAGCTGTTGTTTAATTACTGGGGGCATAACAGCCAAGAACAATTATGTTGTTGAGGTGAAGAACCCTTTTTCTTGATGACTGAGTGTTTGAGTGTTAGAGGCCTGTGGTAGGGCTAGAGGGTGTCCCTCTGGGTCCACAAATGATTGCAACCAACTGCTGCTCTGCTGATACCAGAGAACAAAATATATAGATTGTTTTAATCTAATGTTTCCTGAATGAAAAATGGTTTTAATTCCATCACAAAGTGTTCCACCAGAGCACTGTGTTATGCAAAGTACAATTTATTGAATTGTGCTCGGGAGAGTATAACGCAGATATAGAAAGTTTTATGTTCACAAAAAGAGAGTTTCACAAAGAGTCATATCTTTAGAAGAAGTTTTTTCTTTTGATACTAACACTCTTCTTTGCATTCATGGGATATTTGCTGAGTGTGTTTTTGTTCCATCTTCTCAGAATCTTCGAATGCATCGTTGTTGACAAATGCAGAGAAGATCGCCACTATAACCACAACTCACACACCTCAGCAACAGACTGCACCCGAGGCCAGGTGAGCAGCACGTCACCAGCTTCAAAGCGCTGATCATAAGGAGCGTGGAGCAGAGTATTTTAAATGAAGTTTGTTGTCTTTAAATGCCTTATATACATCCAGTCTCAGGCTGATTCTTCATTTGTATTTTTTTTTGTCTTTTGTTTCAGGACCAACACCAAACCAAAACAGGAATCTTTTGAGTTTAAACCCCCACAAGCCCCGCCTCCCCAGCCACCAACTCAGCAGGCTTCACCTCAGGTAATGAGGGACTCTCCAATCATCCGTCCATCTCAGGCCACCATCAACACCCATTGCTTGATCGTCCAAAAAACACCCCCTCCCTCCTCTCTCCACGCATCTGTCAGGCTACCTTTCCAAGGACAATGTGCATTTTTATTTATCTATCTCCTTACAACCACCTGCTTGGTCTTATCTCTGACTGTGCATTAAGGAAAGCCTGTTTTGCTTTTATAGTAGCCCCTCAGTCCATGGTGTTGGCCACTGAATTAATCTGCTGTTGTGGAGATGGCTCTGCCAGATAGCATTGATTCCTCAGCAGAGGAGATTAGGAGGGCGTGAAGACAGCAGCTACAGAGACTGTCTGTGTCCTTGTGGTGCCTGCTCGGTCTCTCTCTATCATCTGGAGACCGAGGCATCAATAATTCAGCATCCTTACACCTGAGCATATGCATACACCCACATACACACACACACACAAGGAGAGAGTGTGGCTCAGCTATTGAATGTATGTGACTTTCCTCGAGGTGGCATTTGTCCTATACTCCTGAAAAAGGATACCACTTCAGAGGATGCGCACACACACACACATATGTATTTATAACAACACTGAATTGCAAAAATGACCTTGATGCTAATAGAAATTTGTCTGGCATTTACCCTCCTGTGTCTGCCTCTTGTCAGGATTCTGAGTTCTATTCAGTGGACCTGGAGCGTGATAACAAAGGCTTCGGCTTCAGCCTGCGAGGAGGCAGAGAATACAACATGGACCTGTACGTGCTGCGGCTGGCTGAGGACGGAGCAGCCGTGCGCAACGGAAAGATGAGGGTACGAACACAAATCACTTCATTGTCACATACTCTTTGAAATAAAATGTTTCTAAACAAATATAGAGGATAGCCCAGAATCTTTCTTCTTGAAAGAGGCTTATAGATTATGGCTTATTGCAGTAACACCTTTTTGAGCTGCTCATACTTGGCACCCTGTGAACATTTCTGAGAGGAAGGCTGATTTACATAAATGTATATGCATTGGACATATTTTCTGTCTGCTTGCCTGTCATGAAGATCAAATGATGGTTTGTAAAAAAAGAAAAAAGGCTGTTGATGGTCGTTTCTTTTATTTTCATTGGGACATTTCACAAATTAATTACGGCATAACATGATATGTGGTTATACATAGGGTATATAAATAGACTCCTCCGTTTAAAGTCGTGTGCATTAGGGCTATATTGATCCTCGCAGTTTTCGGCCCCATAGCCTTTAAATAGTTTTTCATGTTTTATGTTTTGTGCTCCATGCTAAACAGTAGTTGCATTGCAAAGCATTATTTGCAATGTCTGTTTTAGAACTGATGTAAGTGCTTCTTAGAGATGCATGAGACATTTGTCTTTTAGCGCTAATGCACACTTTAACAGTATACCAAAGATACTAACAGTGGATTTAAAAGGAAAAGATAGTTACACTGAAATTCGGACATTTCCTCTCGGTAAAATGCAGTGCTAAACAGCTCAGACTGCTCTAATGAGCTCATTACTGCCTTATACCATAAAGAATTATCTATCAGTACAAGTGCCCATACATAATCTAAACTTAATTACCGCGAGTTGTGCTTACATGAACACTGGAAGAGTCACCTTCTGGCTCAGTCATGTCAGGATTCGTTGGCTGATTGCAAGGCATGCAAACGCCGCAGAGTCACGGAGCACAGCCACAGAAACAAACTGCACTCTCCAATTAACACGCATTTCACTTAGAGCTTGTAAACTGGGATCCATACATGCATCAGATGTGATTAAACAGAAATATTTAACCATTTCACTTGATTAGTTTGGGAAAGTCAGTAGCACCCATGGTTGATTTATATCAACCATGTGTTTGCACGTGAGGTTTGTCAGACAACTGGCTGGCAGATACAGTATCAGTGTTGAATACATGCAACACGGATGAGCATTCACCGCATTTAGATGCTATATGAATGCAGTAATTTGTATCTGTGCACCTTATTAGCCGAGTTATTAATAGCTGCAGTTCTGCGAGGCATAGAGATGTGTCGGCAAGATTCACATTCTGCCAGAAAAGCATTCCCTTGGTGCAGGCAGCACTGACAGATAACCTGAGGAGTGGATTCAAAGAATCCAAAAGTGTTTCTTCTGGTTCCTGTTTTTCCCCCGCATCTCTCTCCATCTCATCTTTCTCTCTCAGAATCACAGATGCAGTTTTTTTTTACTAGTTAGCTGTTGATATAGAATTCAATCTGTGTATCTTTTAGTAATTCTGAGATGTAACTTTTTGTCTACCTGTCCACCCTTTCCTTCTCCTCTTCTGTCATCGTGTCCCTATGAACCCCCACGCTTCATGTCTTTCTCTCTTGTTTGTTTTTCCTACCCTCTGTTTTTTGTTTTGCTCGGCTGTCTCCTCTCCTTTCCTGCTCTGATTTTCATTCTCCCCCTTCCATCTCTGCCTGTCACTCCTGTCTAACTTGTACCTTTCTTCCTCCCCTCTTACCCTTTCTGATTCCCCTTCCCTCCCCCAGGTTGGAGATGAAATCTTGGAGATCAATGGTGAGAGCACCAAGGGCATGAAGCACGCACGAGCCATCGAGCTCATCAAAAATGGAGGCCGACGTGTCCACTTGGTGCTCAAGAGGGGGGACGGCTCTGTGCCTGAATATGGTGGGTCAATCTACGAAAACATTCCCTTCTCACCCATCTTCACACCCTGAGCCAGGGGTTGGCCGGTGGACGGTGGTGGGCTGAAGGGGGAAAGACTAGATCACAATCCCAGCACCCCTGTCCTGTTCCTGGCATAAACAGACCAGCAAGGGGAAGTGGGGCGTTGCTTCCAGTCTCTTTATGGTGACGGGCACTCCTGGGCTTTGGTTGCTCCCGTGGGTGCTGTCGCCCCCCCCCTCTGCTGTTACCTGCTCTGTGTTTTGTTTTGTTTTTTTGTCACCCCACTGTCACTTCTCACCTTCTGACCACTGAGCAAAAGCACTGTGCTGGGACTTAACAGAATGGTGGTGGGTCTACTTTCATTACAACATTAAAGAAGAAACTGTTTACATTATCAGAATGACCAGAGCAGGAAAACCATCCATGCATCATGTTGGTAAGAAGTGTAATTGATGACTCCAGTTCCTCATTTAACACAAACCCAGCGTTAAGAGGAAGTGAAAACTGGATCCAGTTCATCCCCGTGATTGAAAATGGGACCTCTCACAGCTTTTGTTATGATGTGACACAAACATATTTATAATATTTATTGAAGGTGAATGTAAGCTACTGAATTCTTAAAGGTTTTAATTGAGGCCTGTATTGGGAAGGCAAGGTATTCTTAAGCCTTTTATTTTGTTTTGCCATTTTTAAACCTAAAACTCACTGTGCTTTGTTTGACATGATTCATTCATCCATGAATTTTGTTTTGTTTTGTTTTTTATCACACTTTTAATGTCATTGAAAAGCTGTGAAGATAGGAACTCCATACTTCCCCATTCAAATCCAAATATAGAAACATTTTGTACAGTGATGAAATTAATAGAGGCATTTTTACGAGTATTTTTTTTCAGTGTACAGAGCCATGAATCAAAGCCACATATTAATGGATAAAAGTTTATTGCTGCATGAATTTGTCAAAAGTGTTAATTTGACGTTTTCTGCCCCTTCTATTGTCTATCGTCCATAATATTTATGGAACTTTTTTTTATCATTGTATTAACAAGTATTGATTGACAGTCACGAGCCACAGATGTTTTCTTTTTCTTATTGTTGCTTTTTTCCTGAGTGGAGATATGTTTGCCTGTCTTGAGAATCAGTGTAAGTTTTATTTCCACGAAGTTGAGCTGTTTGAACCTGCACCGATATGACATCACGTGAACTTGTATATTTTGGAATCATTGTTTGTACTTTTTAGTTGCCGCAGCCTTTTTGACAGTCATGCTGGTGTTTCTTTTGGTTTCTGTCAGCAATGTAAAACTGCTCCATTCGCTGTTGTGGGCGTGCCAGTCTCAGTCTTTCTTGTTTCTTTTTTTTTCGGGTTTGGTTTTTCTGCTGCTTCTGTGTTCACCTGTCCAGGTGTGTGAGTGTGTGCACGCTTGTTTCCAGGACTTTTCTCTGTAACTGATGGTTTCCACTGAAGGGTTTGGGTGACTTCCTGGACTGTCTGTTTTCGCTGAATGAATTATTGATCAAATAAACACTTTTTTCATGTAAGAATCAACACAGACAATAATTTGCCCTCTTCTTCCTTCAAGTTGGTTCCAAGCAATCTAAACTACTGTGCTCTTCTCTTTTTTTTTCTGTTTGTGTGTATGCTTCCTTCTCTCTGTATTGCGCTGGGCACTTGTCTTCCTTCAGGGATGGCCGCTCCCCATCTCTCTACATGTATGAGAAATGACAAGATGGGGGAGGCCTCTGTCCTCCCAAATCAGACCACGGTTTGTAACTGTCCTCAGTCGTCTGACTGCCTGTCTTTCCCTGTCTCTCAGTCTTTCTTCATCCTGGTGTGTGTGGTGTGGCCTCACTCGCTCATGTATGTGCTCCTTTCCATGCATACGAGTCCATTCACCCAAATGCTTTGCCAGTATTGCCGCTGCCATTGCTCTAGTCCTGGATAACATCAGGGTTCTCGGAAAAGTTGCTTTGGCGAATACTCAAGAAGGTTTGTCGATGACAGAAACGCACGCGAAAATGGAGTAGAGTCGTTACTGTTGGTCTTTGGCAGTTTGCAGCTTTAAGTGGAGAGGGGCCTGAGAAAAAGCAGTCAGTCGCGCCATAAAGCAAAAGTCATAAGTTGAGACGCAACTTCTGAATGTTTGTTATCCCTGCTGTTACTCCAATGTGTTAACGGCAGTTTGGAGGTTTAGGACGCAATCTTTTACTTTAATTGAGAGATTTACAAGTATCTGTAGCATTGTGTCGGCATGAAAGAGCATGGCTGATCAATCCAAACAAGCTGCGTCATTCATATGCTGCACATTAGTACTGACCGTAAACAGGCCTCAGTCCAACCACCTGAGGACTGCCCCTCTGCTTCAGAGATGACTCCAGCCTCACCGGGGAACAGGTTTGTGTTGGGTTTGTTTCAGTGCAATGGCTGCTTCACAACTTTGTCTCTGCCTTTAACTCTGTGAGCTATACAACGTTGCCATTGGATGCTGCTGTGCCATCTAACATTTTACTAACATCAGATTGGCTTCTATTGGAAACGTTCTCAGCTTTATGTCCGAGTGAGTTGGCATGATTCACATGAAAGCCCCGTGAAGCTTTTGGAGTCCAGACGCGTGTTTGATCCCTGTACCCTGGTTGTATGTCCCTCTGTGTTGCAGACGGCAGCGCCAACGACGGCGGCACCGCCGACCCAGCCGCAGGGTTACAAAACCCTGCGGAAGTGAACGCGACGCCCCCAACCAACGCGCCATCCGAGAAAAGCTACCCACCAGAACCCAAGCAATCATCCCGGAGCAAGGCGGAGCCGGGCCGGCGCGCCCACGGGGCCGGCAAGCACCACCGCTCCCACCACCGCCACCACTCCCCCAACAAGAGGGGCGCCGGGAAACACAAGGGGAAGAAGTCGCCGGGGAAGAACCCGCTCAAGGCGCTGAAGAAGAAGGACGAGAAGAAGAGCGACGGCCAGCAGCAGCAGCACCGCAGCCGCCACCGCTCCCCCCGCAGGGGCGACGCCCGCTCCCGCAGCGCCGAGAACACCCTGGAGAACCGGGACCGGGGGCGCGAGCGCCACCGCTCCCCCGAGAGGTACCGCCGCCAGCGTTCACCCCACCGTTCCCCCCGCCGCTCCCCCTACCGCTCCCCCCACGGCCGGAGGTCCCCCTACCGCTCCCCCCACGGCCGCAGGTCCCCCCACCGCTCGCGCCACCACCACTCCCCCACGCGCCCCCGCGCCAAATCCTCCGACCCCTACCGGCACGCCTCCCCCGAGAGGCAGCGGCCCCGCGGCAACGAGAAGCCCAACGGAAGCGAGGCCGTATTGAAGGAGTCAACCGCCAAGACTCCTGAACCCAGCCTCCTCCCGTTCGAGGACAGCATCCTGCGAGAGAGCCCCGCCCCGGAGCGCCTGAACAGGGAGGCCGCGCTCCCCCCGCCGCGGCGAGAGCCCCGCCCGTACGGAGAGGACAGCCTGCTGACCAGAGCCTCCTCCATGGAGAGGGCCTACAGGGGGGACAGGCCCCTGAGGGAGGTGGCGCTGCGGGGCCAGCGAGACCCCTACAGGGAGGCCAACCTGCCCAGGGTCCGCACGCCCGACTCGGATTTGGCCTACCTGAGGTACAGCTCGCTGCTGAGGGGGCGCTCACCCGAGGTGACGGAGAGGGAGGGGCGCTACGCCAGCCGCGCCAGCACCCCCGAGCCTCGGTACCGCGCCCGCAGCCTGGGGAGGGACGTCTCCCCCGTCAGACGCTCCAGAAGGGACGACTCGGAGGACGAAGAAGACGACGACGATTTTGTAGCCGCGAGGGTGAAAGAATACTACAGCACGCTCAAGACCAACAGCAGCCAGTCATCCAGGCCCCCGCTGCCCGAGCCCCAGAGCACCTACAAGGAGAAGGCCTACAAGGACAATCCCAAAGACCTGAGCATCTGATTGGCCAGCTTGTCCGCCAATCACAAAGATATCCACACAACACCTCAAGTCATCACCCCCACCTCCCCCTCCGTTCTACAGGAATGCACCCACACGTGTACATGTACTCACATCTCGCCATGATACCCTCATTTAACACAATTCACTCACATGGAATATGTAACAATGTTGAATTACTAACAAGACGGTGATTCCAAAATGACTATTCAGACTTTATTTTTCCTTTTTTTTTTTTTTTTTTAAATTGAATGTGTTTTTCTTTCTTTGAGCATTCTACATTTACAGACTTTTCCAGAAAATATAAAACCAGAAAAAACTATGATGTGCCTAACAGTTCCATTAAAAAGCAGCATTTTTTTTTTTTTTTAAATGTGGCTGGCATCTTGTGCCCCACAGTCAGACGATGAAATGTATGAATTATCCACAAGGGTACTGCGCACCTGGATCGCCCCTGCTGGTGCTCCCAACGATGCTGTGCATGTCTTAAAAGGATTCAGTGTGTGTGTCTCTCTCTCTGTCTTTCTCTCTGTCTCTCCCACTTTTGTTCTCACTCTCTCTCTATCTCTCCTCCCAGTGCCACTGTTTTTTAGACATTTGACCAGACTATAGCACAAACCTGCATTTGTTTGTATATTTTTGACAGTTTGCAGTATGTGTACATTCAGAGGTGATCATTTTAAATGAATGAAGGGAAAATTAAGTTGAACTATGATGATGATGATGATGTTAAAATAAAATAATATATTCAACAAATTAAGCCGTGTGAGGCGGTTGGTGTTCCGTGGTTATGCTAGCTCATTACTATCAGTTACTATCATTACCGTCATTACCATCAGTTTTGCGGTTTGAAACAAGTCTTCGAGGTTCCCCAGCAATCTTTATAGATCAAAAATTTCTAAACATAGCAAGGAATGTATCTGCACTCTTTGGCGAGCTCTCATTTGTGTAAACAAAAGATGAGGCTAATGTTATTGGAGGCTTTACAAAAGTGCATGAAAATAAAGCCTTAGTAGAGATGCAAAGATAAAAACTTCTCATCCTTTCACAAAATTAAAGCCTGGATAGGAAAGTCATAAAAATTTGATTCACTCCTCTCTGCCTACTTTGATCTCAGCTTTTACTTTGTTAACTTCTGCCATACACCGCTACATTCCCTCTTAACCCCCCGTTATTTGCAGTACTTACATTGTCTGTACTTGAGTGTCAATCCCCGTTTCTCAGCACCTTCATCCAGATGAATATATGAGTTTGTATGTATATATTCATCTATCAGCTTATGGTTGTTCAACAGGCATATGCTCGGCAATTTACAGCCTCTTCTGAAGGGTGTTTCTGTCACTGCAGCAAGGTACTTAATGCCATATGTTCAAAAATGTGCATCCAAGATTACCCTGTGGACACAAACTGTGCTGCTGATAAGAGGAAACGGGAGACGGATGAAGCGTTGGGATCAAGCGGTAATATATCACAGCCCTTTTGGCCCACTTTCTCTGCACTTCATGCGGAGCTCAACATACTGAGCTTCTTTTGATTCAGTGATCTGAAACGGCTCCTACATGACCACATTTATTCAGCTGGTGTATTAAAAAAAACGTAATTTGCGATGAAGATATCAATCTTAAAAATGCACAAAAAAATAGACTAGCTCATGTAAATAATTGACATGACTTTGGTTTTGACATTTTTTGTCTGTAAAAATAGGCCTCTCGTTCAGGCTTTGTACAGTTTCTAAAGAGAGACAGATGTTTGTTTCCTGCAAACACTTTCTCTCCCTCCTCTCTCACAGAAGGGGAACCATGCAGCTCCTGAATAATGGATGTAATCCACTTTAGAGGAATGAAACACTCTCCTCCCCTCTCCAAATATCTCTCTCCCTCTTTATCAGGACGCGCTCCACCCTTCATCATCAATTACAAAAAGCGGGGCCCGTGTTTTATTGAGAGTCTAAACATCAGAAATGATTAACAACCTGTGTGTGGTGTGAATTTATCCTGCCAGTGCCTGTCAGGAGGATGCAGGAATAATGAAACGTCCAATAAGGGCCCGGCTCCAGCCTGGCCCACAGGCGGGTCAAGCCGCTGTTCTCCCATCGGCGGTACCACAGGTGCTCTCATTGTGACCTCAGAGATTCTCTCCTGCCCTGTTGTCATGGAAACACTGAAGCAACAGGCTCTTTACTCCAGCTGAAAAGGAGCAGACGCGAGTTGTAGATGTGAAAATATGAAAGCGGACAAAAGGGCTGGGTTATTTTTGGCTGTGTGCTCAAGATGGCGAGATGCTTTCACTCTGCAGAGGGAGAAACTTCCCAAATTCTGAAATGTACTGGTTGGTTGTTGCGGTTCCCACTGCTGTCACAGAGCAACCCCTCTTTGTCCTGATTTTGTCCGTGTCTCATGATTGGCTGTGCTACACCTACAGAGGTTCGGTGGAGGAATTTGTTGCAGCTGATCAAATGTCACGCAGCGTGTATTTTCTGTTCAAGGTTAAAGCAACAATAGTTATTGGATGTGGGACATGTAGAGCTTGAGGCTCCTTTCGGCGGCAGCACCTTTCTCCAAGTGTGCTAACCAATATGCAGCTCTACCAAATACTCAGAGGAGTTTTCTAAGTTAAGAAAAAAAGACCCTCCCTCCCCTTTTTCCCTCCAATCATCCAAATTTGTAGTTTATCTTAGTGAGGACTACACAACCATAGTGCTTCCTATCTTCCTGATAATACTGTGTGCTATAGAGCTCAAATATAAGTCAGAACATTTTAAACATTTGATAGTAATACGTCTATAGTACCTCTAGATAGGACGTGAGTCACCATAGCTTCCTCAGTAGAAGAAGCACAGGATGAGCAAATAGAGAACTGAGAGACCATTCAAAGGTAATGAAAAGCATAGTAAAAACTGCAAAGAAGGAAACAAATGTGGTGTTTGCCACCAACCCCCGCTAAATAATTTATGAAAATTTGATTAAGAGAGGAATGTAAAAGCAAAAATAGAAAATATGCTTAGGTGATAATAGTTTAAATATCGCAGGGTATGTAAACATAGCTTTCTTTTTGTCAAAGACAGAGCATGCACTTCGAGCCATGCCTGATCCTCATTATCCATGTATTTTTATTAAAAAGAAAGCTAAACGCTGTCTTGTGCAGGGGCAAGAGTTTTTAAAGTCTTTTTTCCCCAAAAAATTACATTCACAAAACACACTTACATTCCATTGATACACAAGAATTTCCTGATAAAAGACACGTTACACACCTCTTGGTTTGTATAAGCGTTTTTTTAAGGGTGACTCATCTGCCGGTAGAGAAGAATGAACCTCTGACAGCTAACTCAGACTGATTCAATGAAATAATAATACGTCCATAAGAAATACATGAGGTTATGTCGACTTAGCCAGTTACTGTGTTGAATGATTTATTGAAACTATGTGTGAGGCAATTTGGTCATGGCTATTCTAAAAAGAAGAGCTTGCTAGGTGCTGAGATGTGTGCTTATGCAGGTTTTTCTTTGTATTACAGTCTAAATTGTGATTTGCACAATTTGGTCATAAAAGAAGGATTATTTTTGTTGCCACTGGTAGATCTATGATATGTCTTTTTCAGTTTTATTAACCTACATAGTTAAATCAAAATGGCTCAAATATGTTGGCACAATCAGGGCTTTTCAACACAATCCCTGAAATTGTAAAAGGTTTAATGTGGTTGCCTTGTTTTTAAATAGAATTTGTAGTATTTCACTTGCACCTGCAGTGGACACTCACTCACAAACTGCAGTTCTATTTGCAAAATGGGCTCCATCGTGGTCATGTTTTGATTGGTCTACTGTCCCTGTCGCTGCTTCATTAGAACACCTAATGTGGACTTTGGTGTTCATCCACAGTTGACAGAATTCAGATAGTCAACAGAATAACCTAAAGGGCCTCTCAGTAACATCATCTTAAAAATAGAATCAATGGTAAATTGTTATAGCAAAGCTGTCATACCTCAGTTTGACATAAATTAAGATCTGAGATGATTTTAATTTCTTACACCACTGCAACTGAGGTCGAGAGAGAATATCCACAGTTATAATGGTCTTTTGTCAACAGTTCATTTTAGCGTCATGTTAACACAAAAATCTTCAGAATTTGTCTAAACTTGACACTACATTACGTCATGATAAAGCATTGATGTTTATTCTTGATTTAGTTGACAACAGATCGTCATCTCAGAGACATCTCAAATAATTCCGAGCCTTCAGAGATTTGGATTTGTGTGTGTGTGCCTGTAGGTGCCTCCGCACCAGTAATATATGGCAGATTGTGTCAATTTGTGAACACTCTGAGCTGATTTATGGCAAATAAGACGTACTATTTTGAGTAGGAAACCAGCTAGTTGTCAAAACTGGGGAAAAGAAATCATTTGGAATCTCGGTCAGCTTTATGATGTGAGGAAGACAGCTTGTAGAAAAATTGGGAATAGAGCTAAACCACATGTAAAAACCATATCTCATTTCTATTTAGAGCTTCAGCTTTTGGTGATCTTGATGATTATACAATGTAAAAAAGATTTAAGCAATCGTCTTAGATGATTGCCTTGACTGTTATAGGCTTACACCTTCATAGTCTCCTTCATGGTGGGTGTCATTTGATGGTCATGATAGTTTACGGGCAGTCTTATCATCACCTTTTAAATGGAATTAAACATAAAACTAAATGGGAGATATTATCATGCTGCTGTACTAGCATGAGTAAACAGTGATGTCTTGATTTATTATTTTATCCATCTCACAATCTGTAAAGTGCAAAGTCCATTTGCACTGCACAGAACCACCGATAATCAGTCTCTAAAGTAAATGGAATGAAGTCTTGAAAAGCTGCTCTGTCCATGGTTTCTTGATGTATCTGCCATGTCCCCTGCTATTAGTTATTGCTCACCATACCCTGTCAGCCCAAAATGAAAGGACAGATAACCAATTTATCAAACATGTAATGCAGTCGTTTCCAATCCAAGTTAGTCATCACATGCCA